CAACACATCACCAGATGGTGGACACAAAGTGGTCTTCAAGAAGAAGACTCGTTTTGGTCAACAAAGGCGTCAAATGAAGACCAATACTGAAGACGAGTCGCAAGTGTTGGGCGAAGAAGAAGACGACGAGTGGAAGCGTTTGCATGAATTGAAACAAACACAACACCTGAGGAAGAGATCCAATAAAGGCATCGATATCTTAGAGTTGACTCAAAACCCTATTGTTATCACGAATACCAATAAGACTGAGATCAAGGGTGGCATCACTTCCGACGTGAAGACATTGACCAATGAATTAGATTTGGGAAACACTTTCTCTGTGGAGACCAACCGTAGAGACGAAGACACGGATCTAATGAAGTACATCGAGGAAGAGCTCTCGCGACGCAAAGGCAAACAACTCGCCAACACTGACAACAAGTCTTCAGTGCCGGTCAATGTGTCCAATGATATGAACGTATTGTTCGATGTATTGCCCGAACATCTGATCCAAACAAACGCCAAAAAGAGCGAAGAAATGCTTTCAAATCAAATGCTTAACGGAATCCCAGAAATAGAGTTAGGATTAGAAGAGAAGATTCGAAACATTGAGGCGACAGAAGAGGCAAAGAGTAAACTAATGGTGAAGAGGAATAACAGATGGAATGAGGGAAACGCGTCTTCATTTGTTCCCAACAATATAGCCGTTTGTTTTGTTCAACACAATCGCTATAATCTGCCGGAAGACGTGCCGCGACTCAGCACTGCTCCCAAACGGGTTCGGGTGGACGACAGACAACAGACACAGACATACGTCGACGAACCCGTCGTTGTGATCGGCGACGAACCCAAACAAAAGGCTATCTTACAGAACAGCGGTTCCGATCGACACCACAACAAGTTTTACGGCAAAGACAAGGCGTCCGACGATTATATTTTCGAGAAATTCAAGAAACAATTTCGAAAGTTTTGAGTTATTTGCAAATATTTCCTCGAATATGACCTCTAGTTCTAAAGCATTGTATAAAACATTGTATTTACTGTCAATTGTAATAAAAACGACCATTAAATTTACATACAATATATTTAAGTAATTTATTCGGTTTATTAAACATTTATAAAAAACATATAAAATTTTAATTTAATTCTTTAAATATTTATAAAACTTCAACACTTCAAACGGACGTCTCGTCTGTAACCACAAAATCCACTTTATTTTGTCGAATCGAGACCTGAGTCTTGCCGTTGAAGGCCATCTGTGCGGTCGTGTCTTTGCCTTTTTGGACACACTTGCGATTCGGAGAAGTCTTAGTTGTGATACAATTGCGAATTGTATTCAATAAAGTCATGAATTGGTTGTATTGGTCTAAACCGAAGTGAGGGTACGGTTCATGTCGTGCACTGTTATAACTGTCGACGAATTGATTGATTAGTTTTGTATCACAATTATTGAGAGGGCCGTCGTCTTTGA